GGGGAGAGAGGGAGAAAGTAGTCTACTCGCTCATGCGCATTAAGCATGCCTTGCTACGCAGGTGCTCGACCCATAATTACAAACTCAACTTCGTTGTTTATTTTTCAGCTGAGTTTTCAGATGGCAATGCTTGGTGGTCCACAACTGCTGCTACTTGACGAACCTTCAACTGGTCTCGACCCGTCCGCAAGGCGATTCCTCTGGTGAGTTTACACACAAACAATCAGTGTTGTGCTATTAATAGTTGGGATTGAACACTCTTAATCTAATAAGGTTATCATGGTAACAGGAATACTATAAGTAAGAATGTCAAGGGTGATCGTGGTGCGATCCTAACCACTCATTCAATGGAAGAAGCTGATGCGCTTTCGTCTCGTGTTGGTATCATGGTTAAAGGGGAAATGAAGTAAGTACACTATTCCTGAGAACAACTAGTACACTGTATTCAAGCGTTCCTGAATGCTTATAATCGGTAAAGGGCCCCGTACAATGTTCCAATCCTTCCCGCTGCCAACCAGAAACGCCTGTAACTCTTGTTGCATTGAACACACCAACGCAGTCCAAACTAGTTACCGCATCTCGTTGCAGAATTATACAATTTATCTTAATTTTAGCTTATTCTTATTACAGATGTCTCGGTTCAACCCAGCGCCTGAAAAGCAAGTATGGCAGCGGTTACAGCCTTGAAATTAAGCTCACGAATCATTCTGAGGATGCGCAAACCAAACTTGAGGCGTTTGTAAAGGAGCTGTTCCCTGGTGCCGTTCTGAATGAGATATTTGGCGGCAAAGCGACTTACAAAGTACCTAAAGATAACGTGTCTCGTTTGTCGAAAATATTCGACAAGTTGGAGCAAGGTTTGTTAAAAATATTTAGCCCTACTACAAAACGTTTTTTGAATCAAGGGTGGTGTAGGGGTAGTGCACTCGCCTCTCACCTCTGGGGTCTCAGGTTTCATTCCTGGACTCAACATCACATACATTAGTGAATCAAGGGTGGTCTAGTGGAAGTCGCTTGCCTCTCACCTCTAGGGTCTCAGGTTCAACTCCTGGCATCGTCATCTTATGTGGGCAAAACTTTCCAGGTCTGTCCCTTGATTCCAGGTATTCCAGGTATTCCAGGTCTCCCGTTTCCCTCTCTGGATCTGTGAGTTGTTGTGCCCTGACTTAGATCAGCCCAGAGGTTGTTTCAGGATATCAATAAAACTTGAAGGTTTTGAAGGTTCGCGCATTGTCTCTTTTGAATGTCTATGACATGCTGGTAATAAATTCCCATACTTGCACTGCAATAATCTGTATTGAGTCTAGGAACCAGGTATCTTATTTCTAAAGTGTCTAAAGCTGATGGTTTGATATGTTTATTCCAGGTAAACAAACCATGGGCATCGAGGAATACAGTTTTAGTCAGTCGACCTTAGAACAGGTAATTCTACAATTATCATGTACCATCTTGCCGTGCTATGGTATTCTGTGCTGTGCCATGCAGTGCATTGCCATGCTTTACTGTTCCATGCTGTGCTGCTCAGTGCTATGCAGTGATCTTTTGTACAGTGCTGTGCTGTGCTGTGCTGTGCTGTGCTGTGCTGTGCTGTGCTGTGCTGTGCTGTGCTGTGCTGTGCTGTGCTGTGCTGTGCTGTGCTGTG